TAATGGGACTAATCATCGATGAAAGTCACAAAATATTTCATTGCTCTATGGGTTTTAGTTCTCATTGGTCCACATAAATCTGTATGCACTATCTTAAGTAAATTTGTAGAAGTCCAATGCTGAGAAATGATTTTCTAGTCATTTTTCCTTTAAGACATGATTCACATGTATCAAAATCATGTGCATTTACTTGAGGCAACATTCCATTTTTACTCATGCGTGTCATTTTATTTTTATTTATGTGACCTAAACATAAATGCCATAAATATGACAAATTTTGAACAGTTGAGACAAAGACATACGCGGAAGAAATACTTTTATTAATACAAACTGAGTACATATCATGGAATCTTATTCCCTTTACATAAATATAACCCTTTTTCCCAATAGTGACAGCACCATTCATGAACCTTGTCTCAAAACCTTTCTTTTCTAGTATAGAGACAGAGACAATATTCCTCCTTATATTTAGTGCAAACAGATCATTTTAAGCACAATAGTAGATTTACTATTGTTAATTTTGCAATCTCCTTCACCCAAAACATCGACATAAGTATTATTGCTCATGTAGAGACGATGTTCTCCTAGTACTTTCTCCTTGAAATTGATGAAGCAACTTTTGTCCTTGCATACATGACGAGTTGCTCCTGAGTCTATCCACCATTATCCTTGATCTTCAACAATGAGTGCTTTTGAGACAGTCAAAATAAGTTCTTTAGGATTTTTGTTATTCTTGCGTCGTTTTGGGCACTTATACCTATAATGACCAGTCTCTCCACAATTGTAACATGCACTCTCCTTTCCTTTAAACTTGTTCTGCTTGTGGTGTCCAAACTTTTTGAAGTTCGGGCGCTTGTTACTACTATGTCGCTTGTGCATGTGTTGCTTGTTTTTCTGAGAATCTTCTGCTATGAGGAGGTTGGCTTTGCCATGTCCAATTTCTTTTTTCTTATAATTTTTACAAACTTCTTCAATAGCCAACATTGCAGGCAATGTATCCACCGTTAATTCAACTTGACCATAAGTCATGGAAGTAACTACATTTTTCCAAAAATTTGGGAGGCTACCAAGAAGAACACTAACTTGCATTTTATCAGAAATTGGATGGCCAACATTGGCTAAGTCTTTTGCCATTACTTCCATTTTAGTAATATGATCGACCATAGAATCAGTTTCCTCCATTTTTGTCCCATTGTATTTCTCGAGCAATAATTGAACATACATTTGAGATTTAAGGCCATACTTCTTTTCAAGTACATCCATGATTTCTTTGGCTAAATCATATTCTTCATAGAGATGTATTAATTTATCTTCCATGTAATTGAGAATTGTAGCCTTAGCCAACTCATTATCTTCCACCCATTTATTATAAACTCGAGAGGGCCCAAGGGGTCTCTCGTCTTTGACAATGTACAAAGTCTTGTTATGGGTTAAAAGATAAGTGATCATTTTCTTCCATATTCAATAATTAATGTTATTCAACCTTTTTATTTTAAAAACTTCAAATTTGGAAGATTTAGTTGCTATAGCTCAGAAAATTACAAAACAAACACAATACTTAATGCAAACTTAAATACAAATACAAATACAAATACTACTAGTATACTTTTAATTATTACAAGCCACAAAAACTAAATGTTCTTGATAAATTAAAAATTAAAAATTAAAAACAAAATAAAATAAAAATAGAAACTTATTTATTCTTAGCAGCAGATACCGCACACACTTACAGAGGCTTTGTCCAATCAGTGAAAGATGAGTACGTGTTCTGGCGATCACGTCAATTGAAGGCTCGTGGAATTCTTACTTGTCTACTTGGCAATGTGTGATCAATTCTTCCTCTATTTTCATGCACAAAAACAGTCTCTTCTCGACTACTAGATTCTTTTTCAATTCTCAGTGGTCTTGGCCCCCTTAAATTTCTTGCAGTCGAAATTTCTCTTTGTACCAAATCAGGATATATAAAATTGTAACGGGTATTATGTTGATCCAATAATTAAGCACTATGACTCTAGAATTCCGAAAATTAAACCCTTGTTTCTATTTTTGATCTTTGTGACTATTATTCAAAGTATTCCACAAATCAACTTTATAAATGAAATTATCAGGGTAAACGGAATTAATAGAACCTGAGTTTGAATTAAAGGAGCTGCCAAGGTTGTAGGAAAAGCTTGCAGGTGGCTCTTTGATTTTGGCTCGCGTGAAGATGAGCCCACCTCTAATCCTATATTGTCCAGACCCAATGAATCTTGAATAATGGAGGAGGTCCTTTCTTGATTGTGACTCTGTGATGGACACCAACAGTTTTCCTCTGCACATACACTGTCGGAGTGCAAAGAACCAAAAGAACTGTTGCCTTTGATTTCGTCCCCACGTGATGCCTTTTAAAAATATCACCAAAACTTTTGACTTTTGTGTGGTCTCCACGTGAAGCCTCCCCCAAAATAAATTCAACTTTTTTATTGTCAAAACAATCTTCTTCTTCTGTATTTTCAAAACAATTCCTCTGAGAGAAAACCGGTTCCACTGTCTGCTTTCTCTGGAAAATTTTTGTTCCGCAGCCTGGCGGATAATCTCGAACGGCAGAGACAATTTTCCTTGGCGGATAACGGTGTCGTCGGTATTGTGTATTACCGCAAGAGGACGAGACCACGGGGGAAGAACACCACCACACTGCTGCCTGCTATGGTTCAGTGGGTTGCCGTGGCGAGTCCACGGTGGAGGAAGGCGCGAAAATCGCGGGTTCAGTCTCAGATTTGCAGCAGTCAGCGAAGGACTACAAATCAATCGCGATGTTGCAGGTAAGCCTTTTGGGTTTTGTGACCAAATTGCAGAAAAAGGTTATGAAATTATGGGTCTAAAAGGACGTTGCAAGTCTTCAATTTTCTGTGCAGGTTTGATCTTTGCAGCCAGAAACCCCGATTGAAATGGGTTGTCTGAGGGCCTAATGGGACTGGAAAAACTTTCTGAATTCTGATAATTGTTGGATGAATTTGTATGATAAAATGGTTTATTTTCAGAAAGAATTTTGTTCTCTGTCGAATGAAACGGTGTAGGGGAATAAAGTTCAAATTGTTGGGTTAATTCAGGCCTAGGTTCAAATGGGTTGTAGGATGGGATTTCGAACGATTGGGTATTTTTGTGAGTTTTGGATTCTATAGGAAAATTCTCAGATGACGATTTCGAACTTTTGATCAATATCGGTTCAATATTCTCCTTGGTCACCAACGCCCTCTTCCCTGATTTCTTCTCAAGTTGAAACTTAGAAAGAACGTTGTTGGATTCGTAACTTGACGAATAGGAAGTCTCGGATGTAGTTCGAGACGTCCTCGGATGAAAACTGGGCAAATTGTTTTGATTCATGAAAACTAGGCTCTGGGCAATTTGTTTTGATTCATGAAAACTAGGCCCTGATTCCAATGATAGAAAATTGGGTAGTTCACAGGATCGGAAACGGATGTTGTTAGACTGTTGATCACAATTGGTGAGAGGGATATGAATAGAGAGTGAGTATATTATTGAATGAATCTGACAGTAAGGGATTTGACAAATATATAAAGATGGACATAACTTTTCTGTAGGAGTTGTGTTCTTCAAGAGAAGTTATAACTTCTCATGTTGAAATACAATTGTTCATATTCTTTAATTAATTAAATAAATAAATAATTACATTGTTTTGTTTATTAATTAATTAACTTATTTCACTACAATCATATGTATATTAGTACACCAATTTTATAGTGTACCTTCACACATGATTACACATATTGTGAAAACCATACTATCATAATCATACTCTAACAATGTGAAACAACATGTGGTCCAATATCTTAGTGGACAGGATGTTGAGTTTCTACCCATACATTTTAGGTTTGAAATTCCCATTCCCCAAATTGTTGTAATAGTTTTAAACCCTATTTCTCCTTTTAATAATAATAATAATAATTTAAAAAAACTAATGTGAACCAGTTTTTGTATGAACTTTGGAATATGTTAATGGTTCAATTCGTTATTCTGAAAATGTGGTAGCTAGATTCGTAATTCTGAAAAAATGATATGCCGTTGTAGTGGAAGATGAAATTATTGGGTCTCTCCACGAATCATTTGTCAGGGAAAATTCCCTCGTCAATGACGAGCCTTAATTTCTTGAAGGGATTAAATATCTCATACAATAATCTCAAAGGACAAATACTAATGGGCACTCAACTCCAGAGCTTCAACGCTTCTGCATTTGAGGGAACCTTCAACTTTGTGGCGGTTCACTTCCAAATGAGTGCAGAGACATTGATGCAGATAATAAGAATAACATCGACCAAGATGCGGACAATGAACGAGATGAGTTTCTTTGGATTTATATTTTTGCAGCCCTAGGTTTCATTGTCGGATTTTGGGGAGTTTTCGGTTCTCTAGTTCTTAACAAGACATGGAGGTATGCATATTTTCAGTTCTTCGATAATGTACATGATTCGCTCTATGTGAAGATGGCAGTGTGCATGGCTAGGATGAAAAGAAGGATTAGGGACTAGATTGTACTTTTCATTATGTATTTTGAGTTTGAATAAAACAATTTAGATGCACAAAATTTACCCATTCGCTGACACACGCACTATAGAGGTGGGTCCTACCATTGTATGTATGCACCTGTATTAAAGAGTGTTAATTTTGTGTATTCAAATAGTATGACTTTTTCTGTTCTTGTTTGTTTGTTTTCTCATGATATAAGGTTTGTTCTAATATATATGATAGTACAATAAAACTATTCGAACACACAATATTAACATTCTTGTTGACACCCTATTTATTTCTAGTACATGTGAGCTCTACCATTGTATGTAGATTTCTCTTATATTAAAGTGTGTGTCAAACGTAAGTGTCAATTTGTGTGTCCAAGTAGCTGGAGTAGGATTCTTTTCCCTTCTAATCTCCGTCCCCTTCTCTTCCTTCCTTTTTGAACAATTACGACTAAACCACATTAACATCTTGTTTTAACCGTTTTATAGAAAGACAGAAGACAATGTGAGAAGAGAAGAAGGAAGGGGATTGAATTAGGAGGGAAGAGAATTCTACACGTTAGTAATAGTAGTATATTCTTTCAAGTTTCATGATGGACTCATGGTGTAAACCAAATGTCTGATCTGAGTATTCTACTCCCTAGTAACCTCAACAATAGTAGTATTTTTTATATTCTTTCAAGTTTCTTCATTTTGAAACCAACTAAATTGGAGCATACTGTTAAAATTTTATTGAAATTCATTCAAATATTCTAAAATCATTAAGACGATTGTTGCTTAACATACATATGTGCTAATTTTTGTTCTTCTCAAAATTAAATGTCTACTTAAATTCCAAACTAACAAAAATAAATAAATAAATAATCGGTTGCTAGCCTCATTGTATGCTCGAACTCCTGAAACTTTCATTGCTCTCGTCTATGATCTTCTCCTCCAATGCTTGAAAACTTGACGAGCACGGTTATTCCCCACTGTGATCTAGGGTCCAAGAGGCCAGAGGCAGAGAGAGCAACCACATAAGCGGACGGCCCAGGTACAGGAATAACAGGGATGCTTTCATCCACACGTAGCTTTGCCTGCACCAAAGATTGAAGTTAATACATGTAACAATTGCATTTTACGTAGTATACGATGAGTGAAAGCCTCAACTGCACTACTTGTTCTAAAAGTTAAGAAAAAAATTGGCTGGCTATCGAAAAGAACTTTGAACATTTTAAATGTAATGTTGGATGGTACTTGGCTCTTTATAGGTAACAAGTTATTTCCCTTACATTGTGATATAATTTCTGTATCAACATTATAGTAAATTATTTTGACTCGTTAAAGATCATCTCTAAATAATTCATTTAATATGTGTCGAATACCAACTATATTACCATTTAGTGGAATTTCGCTTCACTTATAAGTGACAAGGTTCATGTGAATTATATCCAGTCAAACCATGATAAGTAAATGATTAAACATAAGAGGCAAAGGACTTTTAGGGAAGAAATTGTTCTAGAGCTAGGCACGAATTCCGATCCTAACGTCCTTGTTATTATGGGTTCTATGATTGCGGTGAATTTTATCCAATCATGGATACTTAATTTAGAGGTTAGCTATCATATGTGTAATAGTTGCACGTCATAAAGGTGGATAGAAACCTAAAACCAATATTTCATTCCGACATATATTTATAACATTGTGTCGACCCCATGTCTAAATTTAAATGGATACTTAGTAAATCATGGTGATTAGAAATGTGTGACCACATTTAAGAATGAAAGAATAGGTAATGATTACCTAGTGGCACACCATTACATCCTTCAACTAGAAGGTGGGAGATACTGCAATTGAAGTGATAATAATGTCAGTGGGAGCAAACGACCTTGAGAAGAGATCAATGCGCGCAAATTATAATAATCTCATAATAATGTCTTGGGCACATGAATAAAGTAGAGTGATACCTTCAAGGTTTCTGATCGGAGTTCCGACTAGATACAGTTCGGGTTCAAGAGGACCCTGCAACCGAAACAAACATTCAAAATACAATCTTCCAATGAAAAAAACACAAACTAATATTTTGATTATGCAAAAGCAACGAAATTGAAAATGAAATTGGAGGGAAATTGGGGGTAATTGGTTCGACGGCGGTTGGAGGATTGAGGTGCGGTTGTCGTAGTCGCGGGCGTGGACGAGGGAGCGATCCTCTGGAGGAGCTTGCGGACGGCGACTGCTTTATGCAGGGGACGCTGCTATTAAGTGAAAGAGCGTGAAAAACTGGGTTTTAGTCGTGAATTATACAGGTCTTCAGAACCCGGTTCTACTCATAGGCTCGGCTGATCACAGCCCTTCGATTGACCACGCAGCGTTTGATTGGAGATGCTTATGATAGATCACAGCCCTTCAATTTCAACACTTGCACCTACCCAAATAAAAATGGTTATGATTGACCACCGTTTGATTGGAGATGCTTTCATAGTTATATTATCCTAGTTTAAAAGAATGTATGGTTTTACATTATTACCCTCACTAAATATACCCTAATCTGTTAAAGAGTTTTGAGCATCGGCATACCCATCTTTTGTCTTTAAGTTCATGTTCAACTCTGGTTACGTCTGTAGCTCATACTTTATCTACAAGTTTTCGAAACGGGGAACAATCTAACATTACTGCTCATGGGATCTCTAAAACAGTCTTGAAGTGGCCTTTTTGTAGCCTGAAACCCAGAGGTTTTCTTCCAAAGCTCAAGCATATGTAGCATCGAAGTTTGGCTCTCTTTTGTAAGCCCGAACGTGTACATATTTATATTTTCCTTACCTTTTTCAGTTTTGTGCATTATTTAATGCATTATCTATACAATTATTAGGCTGATACAGTAGTCGATAAACTTGTTTCAATTGGTCATGACAAAAGTTTCACTTGTATTTGATTTGCTAATCTTCTTGTAACAGTTTCTTTTAAGGGTATGTTTGGGTGATGAACTTTCAAATATCAAGGGATTTAGGCATAATGAAGAAGAAATAAATCATGTAGATGCATTTCTAATTACATCTATCCAACTTTTTGTCTTACATTCCTTCATCACTTTTAAGTTCTTTGGAATTTTAAATATTTTATACAACTGTAGGAAGTAATGGATCCTTCTTTGTAATTTTATTTCAGATTTTGAATATTATTCTTTTAAATCTCACTCTCTTGTTTGTGATTTAGCATCCAAACTAAAATAAATTGAATAATTTCCAGTTTATTGTTAGTGGTATTACATTTAATAGATATTGTAATTATAACGTCGATATTTCAAATCAATAAGCGTTGGCAATGTGACGTAGATTTCGAATAAGTTTAATGTGTGATGGGCTTAATCATTTTTTGATTTATTTATTACATGTATTAAACTAGACATGCAGTGCCAAGAATTATTTAACTTGGTCTGTTTGTTACCATCTCACTTTTAGTTATTAGTTTTAACATTTTTGTGTGCTTGAGATAGGAGAACATATACAAAAAGAAATGAGGGATCGTTAACGTGGTAGAACCCAGGAGGGAGGAAGAAACAAGGAAAAACGAATGATACGCTTTTATTTATTTATTTTTTTTTTATGAAACATTTAAAATTTTAAATAGAGATGAAGAGTGACATACGTGATATCATTCTGGTGGTAGTGTAAGAAAAAAGTTGGTCCATCAAGTCTTGTTTAAAAGAGTAGCAGTTTTGTTGATAATTCCATTGAAGACCAAGTAATATAACATTAATTTTTCTAAAACATTGACTAAATTGTAGGTAGCGTAAAACCAACGTTGCAAAATGTTCTTTACTCCAAAAACAAGGTGGTCATTTTCACTTTACTTGACTAGTGGAACTGTGGAAATTTCTCTTTGACGCAAACCCCTTCGACGGGTTTGAGCACATTTTTTTTTCTTTTCAATTTGCTCAATTTGCAATGCGATATTATCTTTTATGCTTGTTTGGTATTTAAGATTCATTAAATTGATTGGATAAGATTCAAGTTCAATTGAAGACAGAAGAGAATGATTTTTATTTTTAAGGAATTAGAAGAAGATTATGCATGAAAGAAACTTATTCCTTTAAGTTATACAATTTCTGAAGAATTGAAGGTGATGAGTTTTCTCAATAAAAAATTCATCTTATACCTTCGCATTGAAAACATTTTTTTATTTTATTTTTCCTTTGACATACGTCGATAACGTAGAAAATGTTATCTTAGTTGAGAAGAAACCTAAGCTTTTAGAGAGAGAGAGAGAAATGCAGAGAGAGATATCATTCATGTGTGATTGGATACCAAATCTAACTAAATGTGCTGACTCAGCAGCTCCTTAGCTAACATATACAAATTCTTATCCGGTGCTTTACACATTTGATGAGCTTGTAGTACTTCATTACTCCTAACAGATATAATGAGAGTTAAACAATCTAACCCATTCCTAGATATCTTACGAGCCCTTAAGTACTTGTTAATATTATACAACATCATTTCATTTGTTATATATATTCAAGAATACTGCAGGGTGATGGCATGCAGCTAATAAACCTTTTACTACAGTCTACAATCTAACCATTTCAATGGAACACACATTTGGTTTTCTTTATGTGATTTTAAATATAAAACTTTGTCCCTTTTTATGGATGTTATCTTAGAGAATATCCTTATTTTGTTATTTTTCAAGCAATCTTGGGTTTTAATTTCATCCACAATCCTTCGGGACCGTTGGATAATCATTTCATTTTCAGAAGTGATTGATTTTTACACTCCCTGTTTACCTCTTTGCATTCCTATGTTTAGACCCCTAATGGGAAATCAGTTTTGAATAATAGCAATCCATCATGTTGATGATGCTTTACAGTAGTGGCGGAAAATAATCATGTCTATGCATTTTAGTGTGGATTTCTCCACAGATTCCTCTTTCCCCTAACAACTAAGTATCTAATCCACTAAAACGCTTTCGCTCTCCTAACAAAAAGAACAATACTTGGTTACTCGAAGTATGACTAGGATTTCCTACTCAAAATTGTTCGTTGCCGATTCATATAACTTCATATTTATGATCAGAACTGTTCATATTATAAATCACTTTATAAAGATCGCATTTGCAAAAAATCAATTAAAACTAAAGTCGTTTAGTTGTGAAGTGTTAGGAAATATCACTTTGGCGTACTGAGGGGTTCTGAAATCTCTCTTTGGCATAATGAAGTGTTTGGAAATCTCTCTTTGACGTATTAAAGTGTTTGGAAATCTCTCTTTGACGTGGTAAAAATGTACACAAATGTGCTGTCATGGTTGTTTGCCAGTTTTCTCAATTTGGCCCCATCTTGACCAACTGAGGTCTTCGCTTTTTGCTCTTATATACATATATACATACATACATACATACATATATGTATGTATGTATGTATGTACTATTTCTGTAAGCAATATTTAGTTAAAAAATGCTCATGTCTTCCTCCTCCTCTTCTTATTCTTGTTTAATAACCATCCTTAATTGCTTTTATATGATTGTGTGGAATTTTATGCCTTGACTTGGGAGGAGCTCCACTTGCTTTCTATGGCTTGGCTGGGTAGTTAGGAATGGAAGAAATCAATCTTAAGAGGAAATCTCTCTTCCACGTGTTGAGGGGCTTGGAAATCTCTATTTGACGTATTGAAGGGTTTGGAAAATGTACATTCATGTGCGTTCTTGGTTGTTTGCCAATTTCTCAGTTTGCAATACGATAATATTTTTTTATACTAATTTGGTGCTTTAGATTGAAAGTGATGATTTTTCTTGTTGAGTAACTTATCTTCTACCTTCAATTTGAACCGGTTACTGCAATTTTCATGCATTCATATAGGGTCGTACTAGTATCTTTTGTTTTCATGCATGTCGTATACACCACTAAATAATATTAAAATGGAGCCAACAACATAAACTGATATTGAACTTTTATACAACTACAAGAAGTTAGGGGATCCTTCTTTGTAATTTTATTTCAGATTCCAAATTTTGAGAACAATTCCTTTAAATTCCAACCTTTCGTTCGTGATTTAGCATCCAAACCAAAATAAATTAAATACACGATTTTTCTTTTTCGGTCTCTCACTAGTGCTATTACATTTCATGGATAATGTTGATATGACGTTGATCTCTCATTAGTGCTATTACATTTCATAAATATTTTATGAAGTGTAGGAGATATACGAATTAAGCTAAAGTAGTACTCACATAAATATTATTCATTCTTTACTCATTCCATTGTAAGAAGAATTACAAGAAATCATTCAGTAACACTTGTTACAAAGCAAATAGCATTTCCTATGGACTCTAAGCACATAACTGAAGTTCGACAGTTGGATTTGGATCCAATCTCAACTATTTGACCCAAATTAATTACAAGAAGTATAGCCCAATGGGCCTTAATATATTCTCATCCAAGACCCAAAAACAAGGAACTGCGGGCATTTTCATTCAGTCAGTTTCCTTCCGGACGAGGCGGCCACGTCTCCGATAACTCCCCACCGTCAGAAGCTGCACCGGTTTTGCATTCGATTTCGAACTTGCCTTCTACGTCAGGAATTTTGGTTTTGGAAGGCTGTTCTTTGTTTGAAAGCATGGCTGTTCATTTGCGATTCCCGTTGGATAACCATTTAGTTTTGGGGAATGATTGATTTTAACACTTCTGTATACAGGACCAGTCCTGAGATTTATGAGGTCTTGTGCAAGACTCAAACGAAGGCCCTTACATGGTCTAGAATTTTGGTTGCTATATTTTATTTTATATTTCATTGTGTATAAATTGATATAGCGCAAAATAAAATAAATAAAAATGAAGCATGGTGTGGTGGCTATGTTTTTGAAACCTGCAAATGTACATGAGGTTATCGTTATTGCTGGGCAATTAGACTCTAAACTTACTAAGCTGAGAACAACTGTACCTAGAAATTCTTTCCCTGTTAAACCTCAACCGCTACTTCATCCTCCTAATGCCCCTACAGGTTCTCGAGCTGGTTCTTTGCCTGTTAAGAAATTAACTCCAGCCGAGATTCAATTGAAGAGAAACAAAGGAGAATGTTGGTTTTGTCCTGATAAATGGACTAAGGCACATAAATGTGGCCTAAAACAATTACTTATGTTGGATGTTGTTGATTCTGATGCTCTATGCGAATTCACTGATGTTGATGATGCTATTCCTGAGTTATTGGCAATGTCCCTAAGTGAGTGTGCTTTCTATGGCACCATTGCCAAACAGTTAGTTCGAACTATGAAGGTTGATGGTGTGGTTCTTGGACAATATGTTAAGATCTTATTGGACTCCGGGTGTACTCATAATTTCATCGATTCTAAGTTGCTTAAGAAATGGAGTCACCAAGCACAAAGTACTCAAGCCTTTGAGGTTATGATCGCTGATGGAGGAACAATTCGGAGCTCT